TCCTTTTTAATTCATACCATGAAATATTATACAAAATAAAATTATGGGAGGGTACTTCATGCTTAGGAAAATACTTATGTTAGATTGTAATGTTAATGATGTTTTTTATTTAAAAAATCATAGATATATGATAAATAGATAGATAGATAAATAGATAGATAGATAGATAGATAGATAGATAGATAGATAGATAGATGATAGATAGATACATAGAGTTCTACATTGCCTGGTCAGTGTGGCTCAGTGGTTGGGCATCGACCTATGAACCAGGAGGTCAGGGTTTGATTCCCAGTCAAGGGCACAGGCCCGGGTTGTGGGTTCGATCCCCAGTGGGGGGCGTGCAGGAGGCGGCCGGTCCATGATTCTCTCTCATCATGGATGTTTCTCTCCCTTCCTCTCTAAAATCGATCAATATATATATATTTTTAAAAGTTCTACATTGAGGGCGTGTCTGCGGAGGGTAGAGTCACTCGGACCCCCCACTGTTGGGGCCTCTCCCACCCTCCGGGACGCACCCACGTGTCCCTCGGGGACCCAGACAGCAGGCAAACACCCACCTTCGTGGACGCCGATGCGTCCTTCCTCGGGGGACAGGAAGTGATCCTTGGCCGTCTGCACCACGGACGGGAGGTCGAACACGGTGACCCGACAGCCCGGGTACAGAGAAACACACTCCTTGGCCAGAGCCCCAGAGCCGCCTGGGAGTGGACACAGAGGGGGGCGGGCAGAGAGGAAGGTCCGAGCAGCCCCCATCAACCTCTGAGGGTCCAGGGGACCTCCCCTGGGGTTGCTACCCGGCATCTGGGGGAGGGGACAGGGTGACAGCTCCGACTCAAGCATCCCTTCTTAGGCTGGGAGACCCCAGGACGATGCTAGTGTGGCCCATGGACTGGACACATCCCAGGAAGGTGGTCAGAAACTCAGATTCTCGGTCAGTGGTTGAGCGTTGATCTATGAGCCAGGAGGTCCCGGGTTCGAATCCCGGTCATGGGCACAGGCCCGGGTTGCAGGCTCGATCCCCAGTCGGGGGCGTGCAGGAGGCGGCCGATCCGTGAGTCTCTCTCATCATTGTTGTTTCTCTCCCTCTCTCTCCCTTCCTCTCTCTGAAATCAATAAAAACATATTTAACAAAAATTAAGGCCCTAGCCAGTCTGGCTCAGTGGTTAGAACAGTGGCTCTTGGACTGCAGGGTCCCAGGTTCGATTCTGGTCAAGGGCACGTACCTGGCTTGCAGGTTGGATCCCCGGACCCCAGAACGGGTGGGAATGGGGGGCAACCAATTGACGTGTCTCTCTCACATTCATCTCTCTCTCTCTCTCTGTCTCTGTCTCTCTCTCTCTCTCTTTCTCTCTCTCTCCTCCCTCCCTTCCACTTTCTCTTAAAATCAATGGAAAAACTATCACCAGTCCTTGAGTGAGGATTAAAAACAAACAAACACAAGGATCTAGTTGGCTGGGTCTTACTGGTTGAGTGTCGACCTAGGAACCAGGAGGTCCCGGGTTCGATTCCCGGTCAAGGACACATGCCCGGGTTGCAGGCTCGATCCCCAGTAGGGGGCGTGCAGGAGGCGGCCGACCCATGATTCTCTCTCTCATCGTGGATGTTTCTCTGTCTCTCTCTCTCTCTCTTTCTCTCTCTCTCCTCCCTCCCTTCCACTTTCTCTTAAAATCAATGGAAAAACTATCACCAGGCCTTGAGTGAGGATTAAAAACAAACAAACACAAGGATCTAGTTGGCTGGGTCTTACTGGTTGAGTGTCGACCTAGGAACCAGGAGGTCCCGGGTTCGATTCCCGGTCAAGGACACATGCCCGGGTTGCGGGCTCCATCCCCAGTAGGGGGCGTGCAGGAGGCGGCCGACCCATGATTCTCTCTCTCATCGTGGATGTTTCTCTGTCTCTCTCTCTCTCTCTTTCTCTCTCTCTCCTCCCTCCCTTCCACTTTCTCTTAAAATCAATGGAAAAACTATCACCAGGCCTTGAGTGAGGATTAAAAACAAACAAACACAAGGATCTAGTTGGCTGGGTCTTACTGGTTGAGTGTCGACCTAGGAACCAGGAGGTCCCGGGTTCGATTCCCGGTCAAGGACACATGCCCGGGTTGCGGGCTCCATCCCCAGTAGGGGGCGTGCAGGAGGCGGCCGACCCATGATTCTCTCTCTCATCGTGGATGTTTCTCTGTCTCTCTCTCTCTCCCTTCCTCTCTCTGAAATCAATAAAAATGTATATATATTTTTTAAAAAATACACAAAAGACAGGGACCCAGACCCACCCCGTGCAGAATTGTAATCATGTGGGTTAGACGCTCACCCCCGAGGTCACAGACGAGCGGGAATGGAGACAGGTCGAAGGCAGCCAGCACACAGCTCCCCTGGACGCTCCAGACGTCCTGCAGGGCTCCCATGAACAGCAGCCGCTCCCCCTCGGACCTGGCGTGGGAAACCCCGGGAGACCAAACTCCTCAAAACCAGGCGGAATGCGAACCAGAAGGTCCCGGGTTCGAGTCCCGGTCAAGGGCACAGGCCCGGGTTGCGGGCTCCATCCCCAGTAGGGGGCGTGCAGGAGGCAGCTGATCCATGATTCTCTCATCATGGATGTTTCTCTCTCTCTCCCTTCCTCTCTGACATCAATAAAAATATACTTTTTAAAAAAATAAAAAATATTTATATATTTTTTCAATAAAGTAAAATAATAGTAATAATCATAAGTTGGGTTTGCACGTAGGCATTCGAAGAGAAGGGCAAATTCTCCATCTAATCAGAACCTTGATCTACCCAGACATCACAACGGCAAAATCTGTTTGTTTGTTTTTAATTTAATTTAATTTTATTTTATTTTTTAAAATATATTTTATTGATTTTTTACAGAGAGGAAGGGAGAGAAATAGAAACATCGATGAAAGAGAAACATCGGAACATCGATCAGCTGCCTTCTCCTACTGGGGATGTGCCCAAAACCAAGGTACATGCCCTTGACTTGAATTGAACCTGAGACCTTTCAGTCCACAGGCT